ATTTTTTGGGTTTAAGGCTTCTCCAACCTAATCAATAGCCACAGCAACACCCGTTCTATCATAATGTGTAGCATCATTGAAGGGGGAAATGTCTTGAACATTAAACATGGCGTTGATCAGCTCACAGAGTGCAAGAAAAGCAAGAAAAAAGTAAAAACTCCTAAGAGATTTCTCACAGGAGATGCAGAGCAGGCGTGAGGATGAAGCTCTCTTTCGGAATTTCAGTGAATTCAGACTTGACAAATGATCTGTGGGGGGGAAAACACGACACACACACACGCATATTGTTTAGGCTTACAGCACAGACTGACGATCACTTATTGCAGTCTGTTCCTTGGATATGCAATTATTATGCAGCATTGGCGGAAAAATCCACGTCTTAACCAGCAGGTAGAGCTAAGCATGTTGCGTTCATCGCTGCAGTGGGTTTTTATTTCAAAACAATATTAAATAGAACTTACAAAGATGTGATTTCTCGGGGAAAGCTGCGAGGGATGAGTCCTGCGCTTTCGCACAGCGCGTTATCTTTGGAACATGTACACACTAAGGGACAGCGAGGCGGCTTGGGTCTCCTGCTGTCCACTAGAAGTATAACTGACGCCACCACAAGTAAGCCGAGCCAGAGCGATCTGCTGGGTATCTTGTGTGTATGTTCCATCCTTGAGATCCGCAGCGGGCACAACTTGCGCGTCGAACAGCCCTACACATGAACCAGGGTCTCCGCTGTGGTTCCTCTCCCACCGCTGCTGCAGCCGCTTCTGCCTGGAGGCCACGCGAATGTCCGCTCTTGTTTATCTCCGTGCGCCACCGCCGCTCTGGAGGTGATAAAACCGGGCGACCCGTGCGCCCACAGCGCCGTAATTACACCGAACCTCCAGACGAAAAGAAATCTAAACCCTCCGAGACAAAAGCAATAATAATAAATATATAATGTGACGCTTGCTGTGGAGTCTTGAAGCTCAGGAATATTCCAGCTGGCTCGGTGACAAACGCGGTGTGAGGGCAGGTGGGGATCCCAACGGGAGCAGACGGAGCATCTTCATCCAAAACCACGCCTATGATTTCAGCAAACGCCACTCTCTTCGTGTCAGGGTCTTGGAGGATTCCGCCCAATGGGCAACGGAATTGTGCAATTCTTTTCGTGAATCAGCGGGAGAAGAAGAAGCTCTGACATGAGCCAGCGGACTGTCGTCTGTGGCGCAGACGCACACGAGCGTTCTATGCGGGAAGCGGATGGGAAACCCGCTGACAATTAATTGTGATTATGGAAATGTAGCTGCAACATTTGGCTCAAAACCAGATGTTGACTGTCAAAACGCTGCCGTTACAAATCACGGGTTCTTTAGTGCCGATAAAGTCACCGAAACTTTGTGCTTTCTTAAATATTCCCATATTTGTAAAATGTTGTGGGTATATTTCCTGGTTTGCACTCGGTTTCCATGACGACTGGAGGATGCAAAGTATTTCTGACCTGTGGTGGAGGGGTGTGGGGAAACCCTCCTGTCACTCTGACATCTGTTCTGCCTCAGTACCATCCCCCTCATCCTCTTAAACAAAGGGCAGGTTAAACGGTCTCTAAAATACACTCGTCTCTTTTCATGCTTTAATACTGCTGCAAGCCACCACCTTCACAGTTTTATTGCAGTTTTTTCTTAATCTTCTATGCCAGACACTTGCTTGTTCAGGAGGGTGCTCTTGGAGCCCTATAAGGCTGTCATCATCTCATTTCTTACTTCTGATTAATATGTTTACTCACTGTGGCTGTCAGGCCTGCATGCTTCTGACCCATCTTGGTACAAATATGCGCAGGCCTTTTGAAAAGTGCACAAATACTCACATGATTACAATACTTGATATCCTGCGCATGTTTATAGTGATATTACTAATGCAAGAGAATTAGAGGAGCGTGATCCTCCTCTAGGAGGTTTGAAAAATGAAGCTGGGAAGAATGAAGCTATTAGGCTGCTTCTAAGAAGTATCAGCAGCTGCTGGACCAGGGAGAGAACAGTGGATATTATTGTGTGTGCTGCAAGATGTTGTGTAGTGTCTGTGCTTCATAAATGTCACCATTCATCACTAGAGTAGGACACAGACTTTCCAGTAACAATATGACCACAGTGAGTCAAGTGTTTCTCACTTTTTAATATGTATTTGGAGTTTCCTGTAATAAACACTGATCACTGCCTACATTAGACTACTGTGTAATATTTTGTAGATTTCCCCTTTTTCACCCAAATAGCCCCTCTCCTAAGTCAGGGCGTTGACACAGGACCTCTGTGGGTGTTGTGTGGTTTAGGGGTGGAGTCTCAGTGGATCAGCCCTGTTCTGGCACATCCCCCAGATGCTCTTGCATTGAGATCTGAGGAGTTTGGAAGCTGGGGTGGCTTTTGTTGAGTTATTTGAGCCATGCCATAACAGTTATAGCAGTGTGACATCATCCTGATGGGAGATGCTGTTTTTTTGTGCACTGGTATGAAGGGCTGGAACAATGTTTACATGGGTGGTAAGTGTCACTGTAGCACGATGAATCCAAGGACTCAAGCAGAATAATGCCCGTGTAACAAATTATTCAGCGTTACTAACTTCACCTTTCAGTGCTTTTAAAAATATTGTTATTGATCATTGTTTGGGCCTGTATTAGCTTGTGACCTGACTTATCTGCCCCTTTACCTAAAGATGCATGAATAAAATTATATTATTTGTGGATATGTTCAATCTTCACCCAATGGCTGTGGGTAAAATAGAGCCATTCTGTCTGACAGTCTACACAAATGAGCTGAACTCCCCACTAGAGGGAAATGCTGAGCAAGGTAGATATGTTTAGTTGTCAGGTGGACTCACTAGCTTCATAAAATTCTTTCTCTAAGATTTACACCTTAAGGGGAAGAGAGCATCATCCACAGGGAGCTTTTCTACACGACTATCAAGATTTTAAATTGCTAGAGGCTCTCCCGCTCTGATCTTGAGCAAACTGAGTGAATGCACTTGTTTTGCAGGTCTGCCATCTTGTCAGCCCACAGAGTAGGCATACCTACTATATGAAAATATAGCATAAAACCTCAATTATATGAAAAATGTAAACAAATAAAGCTCAAAATTATGTTTTGATGAACGATGAAATTACATCTTAGGATCCTTTCCTGTCCATCAGTGATTAAATGATGAAGAAGTAGAAGATGCTAATTATTGTTATGATGATATGATTATGAAAGTGTACACTGTGCCAAAAACACCCCGTAAAGCTTTTACAAGCAGCTGCTGCTCAAGAACTGCCCATCCAAGGCCTCCCTGCTGTTAAACTTACGCTGCCACCATAAGAGCGCGAAAAGACAATTAAAATCACGATTTACGAGATCTGCAAAAATATTTATATTCAGTAAACAAAAGCAGAGGAATAAATAACATTTGATTCCCTAGAAAAAGCTAGATAAATATAACTGTTTATTTCTTTTAGACAGAACAGTCAGACCATAGCTGTCTGCAGCAGTTTGCTCAGCCTTGGATGCAGAAACCAAACAAATGTTTTGTGGACAAATCACAGCTGAAATGAAGCTTGACATCCTGATCTGTTTCAGTCTGGCTTTAACAACATCATCTACGTGGTGCATCAGCTTACCAGAACAGTTTGCATGTCATTTGATTTGGACTCTGTCTAGCACATGAGCATTTCCTTAACAAACATCTTTCCTCCACCCTATACTATTCAGTTTTGTTTTTTTTACTATTTAGAGTGAATAGATAAAGAATGGTGTCAGAGCCTGTTGTAAGAGAGAAAGACAAAAACAATCTCTTTCATCCATTAAGTTTCTCCATAAGATATTGTGTAAAATGACAAATACAGTATATTAATTATATATTTTTTGAAATTATAAATTTGTGCAGTTAATAAAAATTCCACTACTTGAAATATGTGTGTAATGGTTTAAAAGAAAGATTCCTCAGTTTAATCCTGGGAAGGAGGCACAAATTCTTTTGTGGTTGCATCAGGATGGGCATGTGGTGTAAAAGATGGTCATTAGAGTTTACAAGAATTGATTTCATACTGTGCAGTTCAAAGAAAGGTTCCAGTCTTTCATATAGAACAAGTGAATCAGTCATTTGGGAAACAGCTAAAGGGTTATGATGCTGTTACAACCTTTGAGACAACAGCATAAAAAAGTCTGAAATGCAGTGAAACACCAGGTGGACAACTCAGGAGGATAAGAAATAAGTTGGTCAAACAATATGCAAAACCTTTTGGCAGTATTTGAGCCAAAAGCACAACAGATGATTGATAGATATATAGATAGATAGATAGATAGATAGATAGATAGATAGATAGATAGATAGATAGATAGATAGATAGATAGATAGATAGATAGATAGATAGATAGATAGATAGATAGATAGATAGATAGATATAGATATAGATAGATAGATAGATAGATAGATAGATAGATAGATAGATAGATAGATAGATAGATAGATAGATAGATAGACAGACCTCAACCTTTTGGAAACACTGCTTTTGACACTAATGCAGAATCCTGTAGGTGTTGCATTCACACTCTTTGTCTTATATGTGATGTGTACGGTATGTTGTACATCAAAAGCCACCAGACATACATGCTTTGCACTATTTCAGAAATGTCAAACTTAATGTCCGGTGTCCAAATTTGGCCTGGCAAAGACTCTAATCTGGCCCACTGGAAGGCTTTAAAAATTTTGTAAAATTATGTAAAAATAATCAAGCTTTATAGCCTAATGAAAAAGACCTCCACCACAGCCATTCATACTACAGTAAAGTAATGAACAAATATATGAACAATTAAGGAACTGACAAAATCCCTGTTTTTTCACTACTATAGAAAAAAAACATGTTCTGTTTTATATTTACAAGACAATCTGAACAACAAGCTACTAGAACGTTTTCTGTAATTTTTTACATTTATTTCTTCTAATTTCTTACCATGTCATGCTGACAGATTCATTTAATACAGCAGCATTTCTTAGTCATGTAGGAAAATAAGACATATGGTTGAAATTGCACTTCTTTTTCTTATATTAAGATATCTCAAATGTGTATTTAGACTTCTTTACACAGAGAGAAAGAAGAGTTTCACTGGTGTGGCCCACTAAAGGTGAAAGTGGGCTGTATGTGGCCCCGCAATGTAACATGAGTTTGACATCCCTGCTCTATTTGACATGATTATGGATGTATTCCCAGTGTTCACCCACTGGTGGGTCTTTTTCTCACTGGAAACACAACTGAGCCACAGCAGCGTTTGCGCCAGCTGTTCTTGAACTGGCAGACCGAGTAGAGGATGGGATTGAGCGCTGAATTTGCCAGAGTGAACGTCACCACCCAGAGACATGATGAAACCATTTACACACCCTGATTGAGCTGTATATGGATTTACACATGAAGCATGGAAACAGTGTTATTTGTCTCATCCATAAAGTCTACTGAGCGCTAAAATCAATTTGCAGCTGGTCACCATGTTCTTCTGTTCTCTGTGTCACACTCATGGATACATTGGCATAACTGGTTGCCCAGTTCAGTGTTAACAGTTGATAGCGGAGAGCACTGAACGTACACACAAAGGTAATAATTAGTAAGCGCACATTTCCCCCCCCCACGGGGACAGAGAAATGTCTAAGAAATCAGGATATCCATGCATTAATTCAAGGAAGAATGCTTATTTAATTAATAATATAAGTATAATGACAGCTGGAAAAAGAAATTGAAGTGGCCAAAAAACATTTTTAGTTTAAAAATTAAATTAACTCATGTATATTTCTGTCTTCATGTAAGAAACTTGTAAATTGAGAAAACGGTAAATTCAGAGCTGGATTTTTACAATTTGCGTTAGAAGCATAAAAACAGACAACAGCTGATCTGTCCTTCTCCTCGCTGCCTGCCATCTTTAGCAAAGACAGCATTAACCCACCTGCAATATTTTGCTGTAACTAACCAGAATGATGAGTCCTGGGAGAAGGAAGCTCAGGGCAGTGAAGACTACGTTCCACACAATCTCCCCTGCTGGGTCAGGCCACTTGAGAGTACAGATGTGACCGTGTTCCTGCGGAGATAATAACAAACATAGGCATAGCTCTATTGTAGAAATATTTCCTGTTTTTTAAATTCATCCATACCAGCTTTGGGAAATCCACTTCCATCACAGTGAAGAACAGACTGAGGGGGAGGGAGGTGAGTGCAGAGAAAGCCCAGATGAAGACGAGGGTCACAGTCACCATCCTGGGAGCCAGACTTGGCACAGTCTGCAGCCAGAGAATAGCCTGGACTCTCTCCACACTGATCGTGGCCAAGGTTGTGATGGTGACACAGCCACTCATACAGATGACATAGAGCAATGTGTGGCAGGCTGCATACCCCAGCTCCCAGGACACGGTCCAACGCACTGTCACAATCAGCGGGATCATGCTGACGAACAGCAGATCAGCCACGAACAAGTTGAGCGTCAGGATGGTCTTATTGGCAAGCAGCCTGCGTCCACAGGTTACCAGGACTGCAGCTCCTGCATTTGCAGCTACAGAGACCAGAAAGACTGCACTGATAGCTGCGGTTTCCATTATAGTGGTAGCAACCTGATTTGAGTGGTGCAGCTCAGAGAAGAAAGAAAAAAAAGTCAAGTTTCTCAAGTGAAGGGAATGAATGTGAAGGTCTGTATCCATGCAGGCTGAAAAGGTACTAAATGTGAAATGCACACACTGCTCACTCCTGCAGACAAACAGAAAAATGAATGTTGACAGATGCTGATAAGAAGTAAAAGGGAGGAGAAAGGGTGGAGACTAGACTTTCTGATGCTGTTTGCTCTGCAATGCTTAAAAGGAAGTCTTTGCATTTTCACTTTAAGTGATGACGTGATGATGTGCTTACTCACATTTGGACATAAAAACATGAATTTGGTTTGTTGTTTACCTAATAAATAACATATCGTTTTTAGCTTTAAACTATTTTTTGATAAATTTCTAAAATATGTGTTTTCTTGTTTTTAATGACAAGTAGTCTGAGAAATTTGTTAAGTGCTGCACTTTGGAAACATTTCTAAATTGATTTTATTTTGCTCTTTTCACTGCCTTCTGTTTTAAGCACATAGTTTACATGTAATAAAATGTGCTATAGAAATAAACCTACCACTGCCGTTTGCTAAAACACTGCCTGCTAAAAAGCAACAACACTCAAAACATCAAATAGTTGCTTGTATATTTGTATATATCAGTTGAAACCAAAAATAATTTGAGTGCATCAAAAAAAGATCAATATCAGTAGATTTATTACATGGAGCACAGTCTCGACAGAGTATTTAAACCAAACTTCAAACAATTTTCCAACTAATAGTGTTTATTTTGTACACAAACATGCAAGGTGTTATTCCTCTGCAATCCCTCCGCAACCAGCACAGCTGGTGTGCTAGTCAAGTCCAGATAATACAAGGCCAGTTTAGAGAGACAATCTGTAAATACTATAGAATGAAGACAAGATGTAGCCCTTTACATAGTGCATTTATTGCTAATTACAGATTTCAAGCAGCTGCAACAGTATGCTGCCAAGAGCTGTAAGCAGCTGCAGCTGCCTGGCTGTGCTGGATGAAGCAGAGATTGCTCCAAACTCCGTTACATTTCTGGGGAAATCTTTGCTGTTATGTTTAATCAAAGCTTTGAGGATTCGTTTCAAACACAGCTTAAGCAACTTGTCACATTAATTTATCAAAATAACTTTAATTTAACAACCAATCCATCTTAAAGAAGATCCATCATTAAAGAGCTTCCAGGCTCAGCTCAGTTTAGACAGATTTCTAGATGGTTCATCAGTTCTCGGTGGTGACTGACTGGATACTCGGCCTGGCAGACGGGACACTCCAGGAAGCTTTCATTCATCAAGTTGCTGTGAGGCGAGGACGTCAGGCTGGGTCTGGAGAACTGGGACAGGGGAGGGTTCGTTTCCCCTGAGCTCTGATCCGGCTTCTCTCTCTAACATAAACAACAACATCCATCAGTTACACTTTAGTCCTGGGATTAAAAAAAACTAACAAAAAAAAAAAGAAAACTGCTAAATTTATTCCAAAGTAAATCTTAAAGCTACGCTATTTTTTACAATAACAGAGTAGGCTGAGTATGAAAGGTGCTGCTTTTTACTTGATTTTACAACTTGAATTCGTTTTGAATGTTTGCTTTAACTGTGGTTCGTGCAGAAAATTATCAATGGAAGAAATTACAGCAGCAGACACGCAAAGTGAGGAAACATCTGGTGTGCTCAGGTGAACAAAAGGCAGTAAGTACTGAATATTCAGTGACCAGGCAAATAAAAACACAGCTCCAAATGAAAATTAATGTTGCCTGCAACACTGAATTGGTTAAAAAAGGAAAACAAAATACTGGCAGCTGCTCGAGCTACCCCTCAGCCTCCTAGTAGACAAACCTATGGTATCAATTTGAAACTCCTAGGTCATTTCCTTCTTAAGTTATTACAAGATTTTAAGAAAACTTGACCTCTGATCTTGAGGTCGAGATTACAAAATCCTGTGTTGCCTTGTTCATGAGTTATCATGTTCAGAAACGTTGGCGTCCACACCATGATGGGGTGGGCACTCTTTATCCTTTAAAGGCTGAGGGGTAAAAACTCTATTAATGCAGCTTTAAGTTTGATCACAGATCAATCTTATCATCCTCTGATTAGATACTGACGCCAACCTTTAACTGCTTTGCCACATGGCCTTTTCCTTTTTGCAATGCCTTCAGAACTTTGACCATTTGCTTCTTTAAATAAGAGCAATTCTGCCTCTCATCCTCAAGGTCTTGTGAAGAAATCTGGATCTAAAATGTAAAAAATTGTCACTGCGATGAACTGAATGAATAACACTATAATAAAAGAGATAATGTGTGGCTGTAGAAGGCAGGCACAGACAAAACAGAGCACACTGTGTTTGCATACTGCAACCTTTTTATCTCCAAAAGACTTATTAAAAAACACAAACTGGCCATCCTCTGTGCATTGTCATTAATCTGCGCCATCATTAACAATGGGTAAATCAGCAACACGAAACTGCGAAAACTAACAGAAAGTAAATGTGCCTGTCATACCTGTCGCTCTAGGTCTGCAATCTTTTCCTGGTCTGCATGGTGACGATTTAACATAAACCTCTGAAAGAGATTCGCCTGATTGGAGAGTAATTTTTCTGTGATTTCATTGGCTCTTTCTTCCCTCATGTGAGCACATTAAGATTTTTACTTTTTACCTGCAGCTCAGAGTTTCCCGACCTTCTTCTCTCATCATCCAGCACGCCCTGGAGGACTTCTCTCACATCTCTCTGTTGTTGCTCTTCATCCTCAGGGCAATTCTGCACTTCCTGTGTGCTTCTGCTCAACCTTTCAGCTTGCAGCTGCTGTTTGAGCTCCTCCACTTCCCTTTCTCTTTCCTTGCACCTACAGATCATTTTTGCCTGTCAAATAGCTAACCACCAACTTAAATGGAAACATATAATCATTACAGCCATTCTCAAACTTCAGACTGCTGACCATTTTAAAGCATAAAGATAACCTGTCTGCTTTTGTTTTTGGTATCAAAAAAAGGCAGAAAAGAAAATTAAGAATTCCGTTTTAAATCGCGTGGCATCAAGTAGTTCTTAAAGTTAATCCATTTTTAATGGATTATTTAATTGGAATTATAAAATAAGCAAAACTACTGAAAATTATAAAATATATTTTCAAATATATTTCAATGTAAAAAGTAACTCCTGGTAGCCCACCTGCAATACAGGTACAGTCCACCAGAGGGCTGCAGTCCACACTTTGTCTATTACTGATCTATTTTTTATGCCTTGATTTTTCAAACATACCAATTTTGGGTGATCATCAGATTTTGGTGGGTCACTTCAACTCGTTCCCTCAGTACCTCCAGTTCATCCTTGGCTTTCTGGAGGAGTCTTTCATAATGCTCCTGCATCTGGCTTATTTTCTCTTTCTCTACAATAAGAAAAAGAAATCAAAAATTAAAAGCAGAAGTGGGAAACAAAAGCATGTCTACTCAGATGTGTGCCATGTGGCATTAAAAAAAGATAAATGAAGCACATGAGGACACATTCTGTTACAGTGGGCTACTATTGGACAATCTTGATATCTTAAAAACTTGTTGTGACAGACTGCTGCCCCTTGTCGCCCCAGTGGTGAGTGTCCGCTGCCCACTATCCTCTTGGCTCACCGTCTGAATGGTCCTCATTGTGCTGCTGTGAACGGGCCTGATTGGCTTCATTCAGCTGCTTCTCCAGCCATAACATTCTGGCCAGAATCGCCCTCACATAGGCCTCTCTCTGCTGGTCATACTCCAGCCACTGCTTGTTTTTTTCCAAGGCCTCAGGGCATTGAATGAAATAATGAGAAGCACATAAAAGAAAAGACAGAAACAGATCTTTGCCAGAAAGATGTCTCCAAACCACAAACACTTAGTACGACATGTATACTGTAGCCTGACTTGTAAGTAAAAACGGACTAAAAGAAGATTAAGGGGAAGGCTAGGAGTGGATAGAAAAACACAGGGGGCATTTCCCAGCTGTGCCAAGAAAACACTTACATCTCTGAGATGAATTTGGACCTCTGCCACAGCTTCATTACTCGTGGAAACCTGTTCATCAGCTGTGGAGTCCTACCAGAGAGACCAGAAAGACACAAAACAATACTGCACATTTGAAAATGAGCAATTCATATTAACAGTCTCTTAGTTGCTACGATAAAAAACAAAAGCTAGCTGGCAGGCAGAACAGTTCAAAAAAGATCCATAACATCTCTATGATGACTATCATGGCTCTCAGTATCCTAATGGTAGTGAGACTGAAAAATACCTGCTGCTATCTAGTGGTATAACTGGGGCAAGAGGGGCTTAATTAGCTAAACAGATGCTGGAAAGTCTAAGAGTAATGTGAGCAGTATGAAGGAAATAATCACATTCACATGACTGCATCTGAAGCAGGACAGCTGCAAATTTAACAAGCAATTAAAAATGCTCCACACAACATCGAGACCTTTTCTTGTTTGCTGGATTATAACAGAGAGACTGACAAACATTCATGCTAGAATCGCCAATCAAGGCCCAGCTACTGGATTCAAATCCAGGACCTTCTTAGTCTAAGGTGATGGTACTAACCATTCTGCTTCCACTATTTTCAGACAGCTTTCTTCCACCAGTAAACCAGTGCAGAAAAATGTTGCTCCCATTGCACCTACAGTGGACACGTCTGTCTACAACAGTCACCAGCTAGTGGCATGCAGTGGAACTATCTCAATGACACACTGGTCTATAAACAACACTCCACTGAGCCAGAATTCCTACTCGAAGGACTCTCTATAGGAAGCTGGCCAGTATGACCCACTAAGCTTCATCCTGTTGACCAGTTGGGCAAAAATTGGGCAAAACTGTTTTAGGCCCCCTGGATGATACCAAGGTGCTTAGAAGATGATTTGATGTTGTTGGTGAGAGGGACAATTTAGTGACAGACATCCAAACACAAGATACTCAGTTTTGTCAGGATAAAGGAGGAGGACATTTGAAGATTTATTTATTAATGGTAGTAAAGCATTCATAGAGGTAGGAGAAGCTGTTGAGCATCCAGACTGCTAAACTAAAGGTCTGAGATAAAACTTACTCAGCTAATACAACTTCCCAAATACAAAGCTTCAGA